TTCAACTACTCGTTATTATTCTTGTGAATTTCTTCGTATTAAACAAGATGTTTTGTCAGACAGAAGTTTTAATCAATTAACTTGTGAACTTTATTAGTACTCTAAAGAATATCTAATTGGTTCCTTCTTATTTATTAATTCAATCTTATACTTGGAAATTTTAATCGTCAAATTTAAAAAAAATTCTTCTTCACTGAAGAAACTTTTTAATATATAAAATGTTCTGGAAAAGTTCTTATTAACGAATTTCAGAACCAAAATTGATATAAAGAAACAATCGCAATTGTAGTTACTATATTTAATATAACTACAAAAATCCAAAAAAGAGTTTTTGACGAAAGAATTTTGTTGAAAATTTAGTAAATATCAAGTTGATATTCACCTTCGAAAAGGTTTGTAAGAAACAAACCAAAGATTACACAGAAAAAAAAGAAGAATACAAAGATTTTTGAAAATATTTTAAAAAAAAATTTGTTTGTAAATTTTACTTTGTAGAGATATTTGAGTGATTAACACTCGCTACGAAGAAAATTGGATCGCTTTTTTATTTCTTTTCGAACAATATTTTTTTTAAGTTGGTTGTAAATCATGCTTTTGAATAAATTCCTTTTCTGGTTTGTGGCCCAAATATAGCAGATATGATTTGTATGAGATTGCTTTTTGTAGATTGATTAAAATGAATTGATAAAAAGAACTTTCCAGTGGATCGATTAAATCGTAGCAGATAAGATTTGTATGAGATTACCTTTTGTAGATTGATTAAAGAACTTTCTCACAGCAGATAAAATTTGTATGAGATTACTTTTTGCGGATTGATTAAAAGAACTTTCTCACAGCAGATAAGATTGTATAAGATTGTCTTTTATACTGAACTGATTGATGAAAATAAATAAACTCCATTTAATAAATATAAATTAAATAATTGAGTTGAAACGATACTAAAATTAAATAATTAATTTAAAATAAAACTCCGAAACTCCGTTTTAATAAATCTTTAATTAATTTGAAATGATACTAAACTTTATTTTAATAAATTTAAATTAAGTAATTGATTTGAAATGAAACTCTGAAACTCCATTTTAATAAATTTAAATTAAGTAATTAATTTGAAACCGAAATGAAACACATAAGCTATACAAATAAAATTTGCATAACTAATCTTTTATAGTTTAATTTGATCACAGAATAAAATATCTTTTATAGTTTAATTTAATCGCAAATTAAAGTTTAATATAAAAATATTTTATGGTTTAAATTGTTCGCAGATATCAAATAAATAAAAAAAGATGATTAAATTTTTAATTAGTTTGTTTATGGTTCGTTTAATATTTTTGTTCGTTTCTTTTTGTAACTTGTCTAACTTTAACTTTCTTTTAGATTTGCATCTGAAAATTACTATATGGAACATGCGGCTCAACAAAATATTGCATAACTTTTATGATCTTTATCAGAACTTTAACAAAATAATATATTTAATATTATTCAAAGAAACAAATATAGTAAAGCTCGAGCAAGATATTGATCGTTCTTTATCTTTATTAAATATTAAATATGATAATAATATTAACATAAATCAAAAAATGAGTTTGTTAGTTAATGCATGTAATATTATTTCTAATATAAAATAATTTAAATTACAAATCTGATAAATAAATTAATTCGTTTTATTAAACAAAATATCTAAAAACACTAAAAGTAAACAAAAAGCTCTTCAACTACCAAGTAAAAGTAGTTCGGAACAAGTTAATCATATTCAAAGAGATTTTAACTGTTTAACCAATGAAATTAGTAAATTAAAAAAAGAAAATGAAGAATTAAAAAAAATAATTCTGAAACGTTAGAAAATGAACTAAAAAAAATAGAACAACAAATAGAAAAATGTCTAAACGCTTTACGTGCCAAGTATAATAAAAATGCTACGTTGGACCAAAAAATAAACGAACTAGTTGAATTATGTAAAGAATTTGGAGAACAACTTCCTACCTTTAGAAGCAAAAGATATTTAAGAAAATTTTAATATTTCACAAAACTTAAATAAATTTAAATATATTCAGTTTAATAAACCATCATAAATCGTAAATATCGTCAATACTACAATCCAGAGTTTTAAGTAGTTTAAAAGCTCTTAAAGATGAAAATGAAAGATTAAAAAAACAAATAAATGAAAAAAGCAATGAAAATAATACACTAAACCAACAGCTAGAAAACTGTAATAAAGAAAAAGAACCTTTGAAAAATACAAACAATAAATTAAAGCAAGAACTAGAAAATTGTAATAAAGAAAAAAAAACCTTACAAGATAAAAATAAAAAACTCGAAGACGAAATTAACAAACTAAAAGAAGAACTAAAAAAATGTAAAGAAAATGAACCAAATGAAAACCTTACAAACGAAAATAAAAAATTAAAAGAACAATTAGATAAATATAAAAAAGATAACGAACATTTGAAAGAGGAAATTTTAGTGTTAGAACAGGTGGTAAAAAAATGTGATGA